CAGTTCAGGATGGGGACCAGGTGAAGGTGTGAAGCGTTCAGAAACTTCAGCCTTGCAGTCTGAAGGAGCTGGAGCCCTAACCACAGATAATAAACAGGAGTCAGGGCCTAAAAAATAGACTCCAGACAAAGCAAAGGAGGCCTCATGGGCATGTGCACACACACATGCCCCTCTTGTGGGAAGTGTAGAGGTGGGAAAGCTAAAACAAATTAACAAAGCTGCAGAGACACACACTCAACTCACAAACAAACACCACTTTCCAGGAAAGGTCTGGACCCACCATGCCCACTGACACCACATCACACACACACACACACACACACACACACACACACTCACACCCACCACACACAGGTCCTGGGCAACGCCGGTCGGGAGATGAGGCAGAGCAACACCTATGCTGGGGGAGCCAGGGGAGGTGGCTCAGGGAATGGGCTGGGTTAGCAGGGAAAGAGCCAGTGTCCTGGGCTTGAATCCCACAGCCCTAGTATCTCTGCACTCAGGCTGGGGAAGTGAGTGCCCTGCTTGTGTCAGGTGTCCTTATCTGAGAAGCAGGACAATGAGACCACTCTCATGGCTTTGGGGGACCTGGTACGTAGCAAGGGCTAGATTCCTGCCTAGAGAAGGCAGCTAGCAGCCTATAGCAGCAAAAGGAGCAGGTTGGACACCCTGGCTTGGGCACCTCCTAGCAGGTCCCCCCCAGTTGCCACACCTACAAAATGAGGCTTGTAGGTGACGCCCGCTGCTCCTTGCTCACCTCCAGGGTGCACTGATACTTTGTCATTCCCTTGTGAGTATGGAATGAAGTTGTCATAAGAACCAATTGAAACTAGATGTGTGAAGGGCTGACACACAGCAGGTGCTCAGGAAGCGCTCAGATACCGTGAGGAGTCTGCACCATGGGGAAGGCATCCTGTCCAGACAGCAGTTCTGGCTGTGCCACTTCTCAAGGGCATGGGCTTGAACACATTTCACACATACCGCTGTGCCTCTGAAAATCAGGATTGCAGAGAGGCAGACACTCCAGAGAGCACAGCCAGACTCCCTTCCCAGTAGCCAGTCTCTACTCCAGCACTGACCCACACCATGTGGTTGGGCTCCAGCTGTTGGCAGGTACAAGCTGCACTTTCCACACTGTTTTCCATTCATTTCTGTGGGTAGCTTCCCCCATATAACAGACAGAAATAACAATATTGCTGAAGCATCTGGGCCACGGTAAGTGTGGCTCTCCCTAGCAACCGCAGGTCAGGGCTGGTGTGGAGATCTGTGCTTGCATACCTAGTGTGGGGCAGGCAAGCTCACCATAACCCCAACAGGAAGGCAACTTGATGTCCGTTTTGCAGAAGTTACATCACGTGACTTGACTAAGTCATGACTATGTGGTAGCTGATGTAGGACCCAAACCCAGGCTTCATATCATTTGCCGTGGAGCTCAGGACCCACTTCAGGGCTTTTCACACTGGGTTCCCTGGAGAACGCGGGGTTCCAGGGGATGCCCCAGCAGGTGCCAAGCCAGGTGCAGGGTTGAGGTAAGGGAAGGAGGAGGGCCTTTTAGGAGGGGCTGGGTCATAAGTTTCAGCTGATGGATGGGGCCAAGGATGGGGAGAGGAACAAGGTGCTTAAGCAAGTAGGAGACAGGCATCCAGAGAAAGACGCCAAGAGAAACTGAGGCCTTGAAAGAAAAGGGGACATTTACAGGGGCAGAAGGGAAGAGCGAAAGACTAGTGCCCGGCATCACAGGGAGACATGGGACAAAGACAGAAAAGATAGCAAGGGAGACAGGTAGGCTCCCTGGTTGGGACAAAACGCTTCTGCCAGCGCCCCCCACCCCACTGGAGACACAAAGCTTTAGTCCTAACAGCCCTCGGCACCCTGCCCCTGACTGTCTCTCAGTTCAGTCCCCCAAGGCAAGTGGGTGTTGTGGTCAGGGTGTCCCCGCCCTACCTCAGGCTGAGGCTGACTCCTACCCAGGACCCAGGCACACCAAGGTCAAGGGGACTCAAGATCAAAGACATTTCACAGCAAAGGCGCAAGTGCACTGGGGCCCAGACAGCACTGCGGTCAGGCAGGTGGATTTCAGCATGGGGGAAATCTCCCTTTGATGCCTGGCAGCTCCGGGACCTTTCAGGGAAGGTTGTATCACTGTTCTGAGTCTCTCTTTTCCCACCTGTAAAATGGGGATAAGAAGGATAAGGTAGCACTCGCTTATAGGCAGGGGTTATGTTTTTATTGCGAGGGTTAAATGGCTGTAGAGTACTTAATGTAGCACCTGTCACTGACAGTAAAAACTTGAAAGCCCAGCCCTGGGGACAGAGGTAGCCTAAGTGACTCAGATCAGGGAACCTAAATCTTCCTTAACAACACACTGTATAACCTCTCTGATAATATTCACTCTCTGTATCAACAAAGCTGTGCTAACACTTAGCCTCACATGGCCCCCTCCCCAGGGGCAGGGGAAAATTTTTGTTAAATTTTAAAATTCAGCTAGTGGCATAAGGGGGGCATAAAGGGGTAATGTCCCCTCTAGAAAACATTCCCAGCTTGGCTGGGCACCCAGGAATAGCCTTGGCTTTCCTGAACCTCTCACTGCATAGTATGGGGGTTCACCCTTGGCTAGCTACCCATTCCTTAGCAACTGGCTGGATTCACAGCGCCCCCTAATGGTTTGGCAAAGATGCCTCTTGTGCTTTGGCCAGTTAGTAAGTGTGGATGGTGTTGGGGAGGGGGGCGAGGTTATTCTCAGATGAGTGTCTGAAGGGCAAGTTGGAACTATCTAGGACCTACCTACTGGGTGATTTTAGCAGTCACAAGTGCAAGGACCTCCTCAGGGCCATCCTCAGACTAACAATGACCATGACCATTATTAACTGATGTGCACTAAATATCAGGTGTGTGCTAAGTGCTTTATAAGCATTATCATCCCACCCTCCTAATAACCTATGGGGTTCACACTGTTATTATAAACACTGATTTTATACATGATAAAACAGGCTCAGAGAGGTGAGTAACTTACCAAAGGCCACACAGTGGAGGGGACAGGCTAGATCTGCCCTGGGTTCTGCCACTGCCCCAGTTGGATTTATTAGACAGAAGATGATACGAGCACTCACTGTGGGGACATTGATCCTATGCTGTCTGGGGCTGGCCACGGTGTGGAAAAAGAGCCTGTGGGAAACACATGCAGCATCCGGAGACCTAGCTCCATTTGCCCATGTGGCTGGTCTGTGACTTTTGCCCAGCCCCTTCCCTCTGGGCCTCAGGTAGCTCATCTGTGAAATGAGAGGGCTGGGTCACATCCCATGGAGGCTTTTCCTGCCTCTGAATTTTTCTACCCCTACCCGCACCTCCATCAAACCGGAAGTCTTGTTTATGAACTATTAATTTCATTGCAGTCTAACCAAAGTTCTTAGCTTGGGGTCTCAGGGCTTCTTGGGACTCTTTGACTCCATGAGCTTCTGGGAGTTATGATCAAATTGCATATAAGTGTGTGTGTGAGTGTGTGTGTGTGTGTGTACTGTGTGTCTTTTCCAGGACAAATGTGCATATTATTCCCTGCTTCAAATCCCCAAAGGCCTTAGAACCACTGATTTTTTGATAAATGTTAACATTTCTCTAAACTTGATGTAGATTTTTAAGGGAATGAGTCAAGAAAGTTGAGGGTAAAATTCTCTGCTTGTATCTCAAGTCCCCCAGGCTCCCTGAAGCAGCACCTGCTCCCTGCCCCCAGGCTCCCTGGCACCACTGCTTCCAGCTGAGCTCTGCCTGGATGCTGAAGCTGCATCTGCCCAGTCTTGTTCTTTCAAGTTTGCTTCACCCCATGTCCTCCCCCTGGACAGTCCTGGCGAGCACAGGCGGCTCTTTCAGAAGGTAGGTGCAAGTGACCAGGATGGCCAGCAGGGACCACGGGGCTGGTGGTGCATGGTGGGTAAAATCGCTATTTGGCTCCCTTGGGGGTCTGAGTATGAGGAATGGGTGGCAGCAATCTGGAGGCCTGTGTTCCAGGTCTGACCCTCCCCCTCTATGGGCCTCAGTTTTTCCATCTGTAAAGTGGAGGGAGGTGGCACAGAACCCCTGGGTAGTTGCTGGGCAACCTTCCAGCACTGACACTCTGTGGCCCTTTCTGAGTGATAATGGAGGGAGGGACTGTCTTGCACTGCCCTTGGCAGAAGCCTCCTTAGGGAATGGATGCCTCCAGACTTGACTGAAAAGGCACAGGTCATATCCACCCACTTAAGGGGAGAAACAGACCCCTGGGAGAAAGAAAGGCTCTATATCAGGCACCCTGTTGGGGACAGTAGTATATACCTGTAATTCCAGCACTGTGGGAGGCTGAGGCAGGAGGATCACAAATTCCACCCCAGACTGGGCAACTTAGCAAGACCCTGTCTCAAAACAAAACAAAACAAAAACAAAAAAAATGACCAGGGATGCAGATCAGTGCACTGGCCCTGAGTTCAATTCTCAGTGCCACAAAACTAAATTAACTAAATTTAAAAAATCAGGCACCTAAGAGACACCTGGGGTGGGGGAAATGGAGATCCCACTGAAGCTTCCTGGGGGTGACAGGGCCCAGAGCCTGGGTGACAGGCAGCAGCTTCCTGGGTCAGGGCTTCTGTCTGTCTCTGGAAAAGCCCAGGCAGTCCTGGTGGAAAGAGAGACAGCATCACCTTGCCCTTGGCCGAGGCAGGTCCTGGGGTCACGCCTGAAGCCCTGAGCACCCTCCTTGCTCAGCAGCTGGCGACTCTCCTGGCCCAGTTCTTCTTAACCTTGTCTCTCCAGCAGTTCTTTGCTCTCAGCCTAGAAGGGCAAAGGCCCAGGGATGCTGGAGGGGATCCACGCAGATACGTGAAGGGCGGGGGCTGGTGGATCCCTCCAAGGAACAGGACCTGGTCTTCACAGGCCCATAGAAGACCCTCTCCCCTCCCACTCTCTCAGTCTTCACCCCATCCCCCTCCCGCCCGCAGATGAATGAGGAACAGGACACAGGCATGACAACGAGGTAGAACTTTCTCTGCAAAAGTTGTAATGAGCCTGCGGGTAGGTTGGTGTATGGTGGCGGGATTTGGAGCCTGGCCCCTCCACACACTGACAAGTGGGTGTGCAGGAAGAACAGCAGCATCTGGGGCTCAGAGAAAGATAAGTCGGCACTTGGGGTGGCCCAGAGGCCCAGAGGCAGGAACAAGGGGGAGGATGGCAGGCCGTGAGCCCTCAGGGTCCTGCAGTGGGAGAAGGATCCTTCCTTCACACCCCAAGCTCTGGGCACATACACAGATGGGGCCCCCACTTGGGCAGACCAATGAGGTCTTTGGGGGCTCTTTCCCAACCCCAGCCAAGGGGGCCCAGGAAGGAGCTGGGGGCAGTGGCCACCTCCTGGCAAGGGCTGCTTCCAAAGCTGGGGTCAGAGACTGGGGGCACTGCTAACACCTGTGTGGGTGTGGGTGTGGATGTGCACACATACAGGGTCCTGAGGGACCGTCCCACTTCCGTGACCTTGGTCTTCTGGGAAAGCCCTGAGGACATGCTCTAAGGACCCTCTGGGCTGGCTTTTGCCAAGTCTCATTGCCACAAAGCGCTGGGACACACAGCATCCCTCTCATAGGATCGGCTCACACCCAACCCCCGGCTATGCCCACCTGCTTGCCAGAGCCTGAAGATTCTGAGGCAGTTGGCAGATGCCATTCTCCAAAGAGCTGTGCCCGCCAGGCCTGGGGACCATAATACTGTGGCTTGCAGCTCTAGCACCGTGTGCCCCTACGGGTCCCTGGAGGGGCCAGGATGCACAGCAGAGGAGGGGAGCTGAAGGACGACAGGCTCCAGCTGACCCAGCATGGTCCTCCAGCTCCGGCCATGGCCGGCCGGTGGCCTTCTCATGTCTGTGGGGGTGGGGTGGGGACCGAAAGGCAGGGCGTTTGGCTGAAGAGTCTGGCTGGAAACCTCCCCTCTGGGGCTTCTGGGAGGCGAGGCAGCCCAAACTCTTCCCTTCACAAAAAAGGAAAAAGCAAGCAAGTCTCTAGCCTGAGAAGACAGGCCCCTCCAGGGAGGGCCAGGGAGGAAAGCCCAGGGAGACCATGCACCTGAGATAGGCTGTGTCCCGCCAGCCCTCCTTCCCATCCACCTCTGATGTCATCTAGTCTCTGGTGTGAACCAGCCCCGACCAGAGCCTGGCGCACAAATCCACACGTGCTTCAGAGCCACTCAGGTAGAGTGGCCCAGGGCTGCAGGAGCCCTCAGAACTGGCGCTCTGGGATGTTCTGGTCCCCGTCTGGATGCCTCCAGGCCACAGTCTCTGCTCCGGGTGTAGGCAGGCTGAGGTCCTTACTCCTGGGAAAGAGGGCAGCAGGGCTGGCGACTGTGGGGACCTTGCAGGCCCGTCACAGGTTGTGGCAACTTGCAATTCATTTTGGTCTCAGGGGAGGAACCCGGGTTATCTGTGGAGGAAGCGACAGACGGAAGCAGGCCTTAGAAGAGAGCCTTCAAAGGCATCATTTTCAACCAAGACCCACCACTTTGATGACTCAGCCTCCCCTCCTTGGGCAGGCTGGTGATTAGGAAAGGGGCACACTGATACCCCATTCCTCAAACTGTAACCAGACTGTTTCCCCATACCCAGCACTGCTTGCCTCAGCCGTGCAAAGGCTATAGACCGGAGGGGGCGGGGTTGGCTGGGCTGGTGGAATGTGGTGGGAGAGGGGCAGGTTAGGAACCAGCCAACAGGAAGACCAGTACAGTGGCAGCCTTGGGCAGCCTCAACGGCTTCCTCCTCCCCCAGTACCAGGGATGGAGCCCAGGCTCTTCACCCTGAGGTACATCTCCAGTCCTTTTTATTTTTCATTTTGAGACAGGGCCTCACTAAGTCACTAAATTGCTCAGGCTGGCCTTGAACTTGTGATCCTCCCTCAGCCTCCCCGTATTCTGGCATTGCAGATGTGCCTATGCCACCATGCCCAAATTGTGATGGCTTTTTAAACCCAGCAACTCCGCTCCCAAAGATGCTGTGGGCTCCACTGTAAGCGTTTGCTCTTGGTCCTGGCTGCGGGGCGGGAGATAGCGGCTAAAACATCTGCCTTGTGGAGCTACGCTGTTGAGATCTACTGGTTGCTACACGCTCCATCTCATAGGAGGTACCTTGTCCTCAGGCACAGGGAATGGTCTGTGTGTTCCAGAGCCACGCAGACCAGCGATCAAGCCCCACTCCACACTGAGCAGTGGCGAGGTATGAGGTGAGTTATCTAACCCCTCAAGCCTCCATCTGCTCATCCCCTGTACAACGGGGATGACCTAGGGGAGCAGTGCTTGCTTAAGGATACAGCAGGACCTGGAAGGTGAAAGGGCTCAATAACATCCCAGGATTATCATATTTCATTGAATCAAAAAACAATCCTTTTCCCACATTTTTCATATCTCTGGAATGGGGGCGTATTTTACATCAGCTGTGATTTTAAAGTCCTCCTGTCAGCCAGGTGTGATGGCACACACGTGTAATCACAGCACTCTGGGAGGCCAAGGCAAAAGGACTGAAACTTTGCACCCAGCCTGGGTAACTTACTAAGACCTGTCTCAAAATAAAATATTCAAAAGGGGGTTGAAGGTATAGCTCAGCGGGAAGGCCTTGAACTCAATCCCCAGTACTGCAAAAATAAGAAAATAGCCTCCCGTCATCATTACATTGGCAGTTTCTTGTAAACCGCTGATAAATAAAACAGTGAGACTCCCTGTAATTGACGGCAGCTCAGATTTTATGAAATACGGTATCATGCCCCTCCCACCCCTGGAAAGGCAGACTCCCTCCCTTCCCAGGGTCCTTCTAACCTCCATCCCGCCCCAGACTGGCACTCACAGCTCCGTGTCCTCCAGGGCAGGCGGCCGCTCCAGAGCCTGCCTCCGCCTCCGCACGGCCCCCAGGATCTTCTTGCGCGGTCCCAGCGGGACGCTGATGCTGCGGAGATCGAGGTCCGAGCACAGCATCAGTGCCTCCAGGTCGATCTTCTCCTGCCGCAGGAGGGAGGCAAAGTCTTCCATGTGCAGGGAGGCCAGGAAGGTCTCCAGCGGGCTCGTCTCGGGCTCCAGGTCCTCGTCCAAGCCCAAGTCCAGCTCGTCCCAGGGCAGCTCCTCCCCGCAGCTGCGGTCCTGCAAACTGTTGGCACTGCCCAGGCTGTCGTCGTCCAGGCTGGGGGAGCTCTGCAGCCGACCCCGTGGCGTGCCCGTCCCATCCAGGCCCCCGTCGTCACGGCCCAGCCCGTGCAGGCCACTGCTTAAGTAGTTCCTGCGGAACACCATGGTGCCTAGGCCAGGGCGGGTAAACAGGGAGTCGTGGCCTGAGTCGGTGCTGACCTCCGAGTGGGCAGGCTCGGCTGCCAGCGTGGCACGGGAGACGCTGTCCTCGTCCGAGAGGAACATGTCCCGGAGCGGGGCGCGGCCCCACTCCTTGGGGTTGGCGTAGGTGCCCGGGCGCACGAACATCACGTCGCTGCCCAGCTGCAGCCCCGAGAGCGAGCGCACGCTCTTGCGCCCGTCCTCCGAGACCTTAAAGGTCCCCTCCCCGCCCTGCTTGCGCCGCTCCAGCTTCTTTTGGATCTTGGTCTTGCCCCTGGCCGTGCCGTGCAGGGTGGCCTGCGAGTAGGGCAGCTGGCTGCCCAGCGCCAGGTGCTGCAGCCGGCGGCTCAGGGTGCTGGACGTGAGGCTGGAGAAGCTGAGCGTGTCCGAGCGCTCGGCCAGCTCCCGCCGGTAGCGCCGCTCCATGCGCTCGTGGTGCTTGCGCTGCATCTTGGCGCACTCTCGGATGCGCCGCTCCGCCTCGCGGAAGGCCTTGTCCTTCAGCTTGCCCACCAGCTTGGGGTTGAGGCTGCTCTGCTTGGCCGCGATGGAGTCCAGGTAGCGCACGCACTCCATGTGGCCCTTCATGGCGGCCATGTCCAGCGGCGTGTGGTAGTCGTTGTCCAGGCACCAGATGTTGGCCCCGAAGGACACCAGGAAGGACAGGCAGTGCAGGTGGCCATTGGCAGCTGCCAGATGCAGGGGTGTGTTGCCCCAGATGTCGCACTTGTCCGGGTCACCCCTGCAGGGAGAGCACGTGGGGACGAAAAATGAGCGGTCTTAGCAAGCGCAAATGGACCGGCTGCCGTGGCTGGGGGTGGAAGCGGGCAGGGGGCTCCCCAGCCTTATCGAGATTCCCCACGGGCACCCTGGGCCCAAAGGAATCTGTGGAACTGAGATCGCTCCTCTGATTCCAGGGGCTCTGCTGATCCGAGCCACCAAACGCTCGCGGGTTGAGGGAGCGCAGGAGAAAAGAGCACGGCATCTAGGGGGCGGGGCGACGGAGAAGGCGGAGCAGAGGCGGGGCCTTCCCCCAAGAGAACTGAGGGCTGGGAATCTCAGGGGATAAATATTTGATGTTCAGAGAGAACCGAGTGAATTATTCATGGGCCCAGCGGGGAGCTGGCCCAGAGAGGTGGTGGGCCAGGGCCCAGGCTGGGTCTCTAGACAGGTGCGGTGAGTGCGGCCACGTGTTGCAGGGTGACTGTGAAGGAGGACCAGAGGGTGGTGTGTGCCGGGCCCCAGCCTGGGTGAATGCGCAAGGGCGCGACGGTGCGTGGCTGCGTCCAGGTCTGCGGGGAGCAGGGCCAGGCCTGGCAACGCCAGTGTTAGAGCAGGTGTCGGGTCTTGGCCTGGGCCAGGAGGGGACTGTGGGGGCAGCCAGGACCGGGCGCGGGGAGAAAGAAGGTCGAGGCCCGGCTGGGCTGCCCTCCCTTGCTCAGGCTGCCCCACCTTTGGGGGTCCTGCAGGGCTGGCTGTCTCCCCTAACACCCTCCAAGACCGATGACGCCCCCGGGCAGCTCCCGTTGCTCCTCCAGAGCTCTTGCCTTCCTCTGGCACTAGCACACGGACCGGCCTGACACTAATGAGGCCACGAGGCCACCCCAGGGCTGGAGGAAGAATCATTCCCTTGTCTCCGCGTCTCCCCACACACCCCCTGCTCAGCTTCCCTGCTGGTCGCCAACTCCACAAGGGGGAGGAGCCACCCTGCCTCAGACCCACAACCACACAGCATAAATCCTTGCCTCTGTAGGACTTGGGGGTTGGCACACCAAAGGGGGCCTCTTTTCCCACACACAGCACCTGCTCAAGCCACAGGCTAGTGCCCAGCACCGAGCCAGCTCAGTCCCTGCTCCTCTCTCCCGGGGCCAGACTGTCACATTAACTCTCTTGGGGCATCCCTTCTGTCCCTCCTCCTGCCCAGGGCACCCTGGTATTTAGCCCGTTCTAGTGTTCACCCCAGCCTCACTTCTCTTATCTGCCGGTGGGTGGCCAAGTTGTTCCCAGGAGTGTGATATATCCCACCCCCACCTTAGAACCCAATTCGGTGGCCCTGGGCCATTTCTCAACCACTACCCCCAAACCCCATCCCTAGCTCTGACACCTGTCCTCTGTGCCCAGTCTCCTGGGAGGACCACTCCAGAGGGCGGATGGGCCACAGAAGCCCCGAAAGGCAAGGGCATCACCATCCTGCCACGGGTCAGCTGTGGGGAGGGGCACAGAGAGAGTTAACAGGGCGGCTGCGCCAGTGACATTTGGTACTGTGGACAGTGCCCATAAATCCCTGACCCAGCAGGGCGAGGAAGAGTGGTGTGAGACTCAGCCTGTGGGGGCTGTGGGGGCTGGGCTATCAGACTGGGGAGTGGGGAGGGGCGCCTCCTCTTTCCTAGCCCCCACTTCTGGGCCTTCTGAGGCTTCCCAGCCTTACCTTGGGTTCCCACTTTCCGCCTCACCTTGCTTCCGGGTACTCCCACCCGGAAGACGTCTCCCACCTTCCCCCACTCGCAGCAGCTGTCCCAACAATCACAGACCCTCAAATCCCAGTTTCTCCCCTCCGCACCCCACATCCAGGTCGTGAGTGTCACATGCCTCCACTTGTGTTCCCATCCATGTGCGTCTGCCCAGCAAACGCCAAGGTCCCGCCTTAGAGTCTGTTCACAGGAAAGAGGGTAGCTCCGAGAAGGGGATAAGGATGCCCTGGGATCTGGGGGAGGCGTCGCAGGGCCGGGCACCCCAGAGTCTTCCCTCTCCCCTGCTGGCCGGGTGTGGGGTACTCACCCGCGGCTCACGATGAGGCGCAGCGACTCCAGGTTGCCATGGTAGGCAGCCCAGAGTGTGGGGGTCATGCCATCTTCGTCGGGGGCATTCAGCTCCTTCCGGGTGGCCTCCTTGAGGAGCTCCAGGTAGCCATCCCGGGCGGCCCGGTGGTACTGATCGTTCATGGCGCCCGACTTGGACGGGGCGGGCAGGGGACACAGGGAAATGCCCCCCGCGGGGGAGGGCAGAGGGGTTAAGGCTGAGGCATGGGGGTGGGGGAGGGGACTGGGCAGGGGCCAGGGCCGCCAGCCCCCCCCGCCGCCGCAGATGGAGGGTGCAGAGCACCAGAGCCGTGCGGCTACGGGGACATCTGAGCCGCTCACCCGGCGGCGGGTGGCAGGGGAGAGGGGAGGGAGAATCTCCCGCCGCCCAGCGAGCCGCCCTCGGGCTTCCCCTGGGTCCTAAACACCCTGCTTCTCAGCGTGCACAGGGCCAGTGTTAGAGTAGGTGATCCTATGAGGTCGTTCTCTCTCCAAAAATGCACACCCTAGCGCTCCCCTCTCCACCCCGTGACTCCCAGTCTCGAGAACAGCTGGGGTCCATCCTCACTACAGTTTCGAAGCTGATGATCCCAGGACAGTGCACTTAAAGAAGAGTGAAGACCCACCAGAAACTGTCCTTGAGTAGGAAGCAGCGGTCCTGGTACGGGGTCTTGACGCGCTCCAGCAGGGGGCGCTAGAGGACTGGAGGAGGGCTGGGCGCACCGCGTGGGAACTTCTTTCCCACGCCCCAGACTTCGAAGCACCTAGCGGAGCAGCAGAGGGGGGCGCAGTAGGGACAGAAGAAGAAGAAACTCGAGCGTTCTGAGGACAGGTGGGGAACGGAAGGCTAGTGTCACGACCTCAGGGTAGCAACCGGGCTCACAAGCGCAGCCTGCGCCGGGGCTGGGAGGACATGTGGGTGCCCGCGGCTCGCGAGCGTCAGGTGTGGGGGCTCCGGGCGGGAGCGGTGGGGGGTGCCCTCTAGCTGCCGCACTGCGGGACCGCGCCCGTCCGAACCCGGCCCCACAGGGGTGACAGGGACGGAGGGAGGCGGGTTGTTCTTAACAGATAAATATACATCTCGCTTTATCTGACTCCCGCGCGCACTTCCCCAAATTCAGCCCAGAGAAAAGATGGATCATGTGAGTGGGACTGAGAGGTTTATGGAGCCGAGCTCCCGCGGCAGTAAATCACTCAGCGCTCTCGGATATAAAGCTCCCGTCCAGCCTGGCGTGGGAGAGAGGAGACGCTCACCGCCCCCTGAACCCCAACTCTGCGCGAGCTACCAGGCCAGCCAGGTGCGTGCCGGGGCAGGTGGACGATGGGATTTTGGAAGTGGGTCCGACGGGTGCCGCCACTTCTTTCCTTCTGAGCTGAGCCTCACAGATGCGGGTTCTGGTTTTTCTCTTCTTCTCCCCCTGCGCTTTCCTCCAGCACCGGGATTAGGAACTCCCTGGTCCCCAAATCTAGAGATAAAATGGGGACAGGAAAGCCCTCGGGGTTGAGCTGGGGTCCGTTCCGCTCCTCTCCTGCAGTGATCCCCCCTCCAGCCTCCTCGCGTCGCCCCCACCATGTCGGAGGCGCTGGGCTTGGGCCCCAAGGAGAGCGCGCCGGCGCCGCGGGCGGCCCCCCGCGAGGTGTGGAAGAAGGGCGGCCGTCTGCTGTCGGTGCTGTTGGCCGTCAACGTGCTGTTGCTCGCCTGCACGCTCATCAGCGGGGGCGCCTTCAACAAGGTGGCCGTGTACGACACGGACGTGTTCGCGCTGCTCACCGCGATGATGCTGCTGGCCGCGATCTGGATCCTCTTCTACCTCCTGCGCAGCGCGCGCTGCCCTGGCGCGGTGCCCTACCTGGACGCGCACGCGGGACCCATCTGGCTCCGAGGTGCCTGGGGGAGGTGGGCGCAGAGGGGAGCTGCGCTGGGGCTTTCGGAGGACCAGGGGAAGGGGTGAGAAGTTCCCTGAGGAGAGCCGGGTGTGACTGAGGGGAGAAGTGGGCTACTGTGAAAGCAGGAGGAGCGGGAGGGAAAGGGGTCCTGGAAATGGTGAGATGAACAGAGGGACGGGACGGGGTCAGGGGGCTTCTTTGCCTTGTCTAAGGATTGGAGAGCGTTGTGAAGGGAGCACCTTTGATGGAGAGGGGGCACAGAGGACAGCAGCAACTGAAAAGGGTCTGTCTAGGGCCCCTCCTCTTGCTTAGGGAGCCTGTAAGAGGAAGACATAGCAGGACAACCAACTAGTCAGTCGTGCATCCTTCCACTCACCCATCCATCTTTCAGACCTTCCCTTTGCTCATTTGCCTATTCATCCATCCATTCATCCATCCTGCCACCCGCCCCTTTCATCCATCCCCATCCACTCTCCCACCTATCCATCTTTCCACCCTCCCATCCATCCACCTACTCATTCATATACTCATCCTTCTATCCACGCATTCATTATTCATTTGCCCATTTGCCTATTCATCCATCCTCATCCATCCTCCCACCCTCCCCGTGCATCCACTCATCCAGTTATCCACGACACCTTCCCATCTAGCCACCCACCCTCAGAAGCCTGCTTCTCCCCTCAGTCACACCCAGCTCTCCTCAGGGAACTTCTCACCCTCCCTGCTGGTCCTGTGTTCCATTCTACAAGTCTTCTCCCCTACCTCTCTGACCCTTTCTGACCCTCTCTGACCCCACCTCCAGGCGGGCTGGTGCTGTTTGGAATCTGCACTCTCGTCATGGATGTCTTCAAGACTGGTTACTACTCCAGTTTCTTTGAGTGCCAGTCGGCCATCAAGATCCTGCACCCCCTCATCCAGGCAGTGTTCGTCATCGTGCAGGTGGGTAGGAGGAATGTCCCAGAGTGTGGCAGAAAAGGCTAGGAACATAGCTCAGTGGCATAAGTGCCTGCCTGGCAAGCGCAAGGTCCTGAGTTTGATTCCCAGTACAACAACAAAAAAAAATCTAGTCGCAGAGTGTGGCGGAAAGGAGCCAGTGTTTGGCAAGGGGTCAGAGACCTGAGCTCTCCTTCTTCCCTGAACAATTAATTCAGTCGGAAAGGACTGAAGCAGGGATCGTATGGTCCATACATGAGGAAGAGTGATGAACCACTGGGTAATGAAGTGAGCTTCTCCTTAGAGGCACTAAGATTTTATGTCATCCTAAGCAGTGCCAATAGTTAACCCCTAGGAAGTATGAGTTGAGACAGCTGGCCCTGCCTGCTAGAACCTGGTCTACCCTCCTTGAAGGCCTTTGAGGGCATCAGTCTCAGCCTACAACATGCTGGGAACATAGCCATTTGGCACCAGCATGGCTCCTATATTTGGTGTATTGTCATGAGCAGGAGTGTATGGGGGGGGGGTTAGTCTGTCGCTGAGACTTTCTAAACAACTTCAATTTCTTTTGCAATCTGTTGCATAAAAACCAGTTTGAAAGGTCTGATTAAGCTGAGGCAAGGCTGGTTTTATATGAGACCCTAAGAGAACATAGCCCTGTCGCATGACAGAATGACCACAAGGGTTGTGCCCTCCCCTGAAGCACCACCCTGCTGCCTGGGTGTCCACAGTTTGACACACATATAACCTTGGCATTCATACAGTTTTAGTTTTCTACATTTCATGAGTTTGAAGAATAATCAGATAAAAGGAAAACACAAATACCCCCACATCAGCAAAGCTCCTAACAGCAATTCACTGGTAGCCAGATGAGGACAAGGCCTTGCAGGGAACAAAGGAAGAGGATGGGCTGCCGACGTGGTCAAAGGCAGTGAAAAGTCACCAGAGACCTCTTCCCCCTAGATAAAGACCCAGTGTGAGGCTGGCCCTGCTCTCAGGAATAAATAACAAGGTAGCCAAAGATCTACTTGTTCCTCTCTTACCCTCCCCCAAAAGAACGCCCTCAAACCAGAGTTTTACAGTTGACATTTTACAAACCTTTAAGCAACTGAAAACCACTATTTTTGTACAAACTGAACCATAGAGTAGAAGCAGAAAATGTCCCTGGTCTCTGTTTGTAAAGCTGAAATGAACCCAGTCATCTAGGACAAGGTCCACGGGGGTGGAGAGACCATCACCCTGGGTGTGGACCCGGGCTTCCTGGAGTTTAGCCCACTCGCAGAAAAATGACCCTCCCTCCCTCTCTCAACACAGACTTACTTTCTCTGGGTCTCCGCTAAAGACTGTATTCACGTCCACCTGGATCTGACCCGGTGAGAACTGCAGCTCAGTGTCTGTGCCCCGCCTGTCGCCTGGCAGGAGACCTGAGGGCTGTCTGGCCTGAGCATGGCTCCTCCCTCTGCCTCCTGGGTGGGGTTTCAGCCAAGGTCCCCAATTTGTCCGCCTAATTCCACTACACTGTGCCCGCCCCCTTTCACGTGTTGTGGGGGTGGGGACAGCAGGGCCTGTGCCTCTGGAAACCCCCGGTCCTCTCTTGGGTGGCATCCTGGCCTTCCAAACTCAGCCCCACTTTTCACAAGGGCCTGGCTGACCTTTCCCTTCTCAATATCATCTCTCAGGAGAGCTTTCCGGTCTCCTACCTCGCTAGGGACCCAAGATGAACCAAAGACTCACGGGCCTCTTTGCCTCCCTCAACCTCCAAACAGATGTGGACTGATGTTCACGCTCACCACCAACCTGGCCATCTGGATGGCAGCCGTGGTGGATGAATCTGTGCACCAGGCAAGCTCCCACAGCAACGTCAGCCACACCCGCCTCACCCCTGACCGTGAGTTCCCCCTTAGCCCTGACCCTATGGCTACCGGGCTTTGGGCTGGGTGCTTTGTGGATTTGTAGTCAGTCAACTATGCTGTCCCAAGGGCTCGGAAGCAAAGGTGGAAGCTAGGGGCCTCCTCCCACTCCAGGCTCTGCCTCAGGAGTATGGATGAAGGGGACAGGAGAGGGGATGCTGGGGGCACTTTCTCATTCTTGCAGATTCAACCACAATCCAGGCGTCCATCCCCACAGGAAGGGACCCAAGCTCCTGGAAGAAAGGGCAGGGGCAGGGGGAGGGGGAGGGGGAGCGAGGCACAGTGGCTCCAAATGGGAGTCTGGGATCAGAGGAGAGAACCTGGGGAGGAAAAGGTCAGAAAGAATCATCTCATTGCAGTGACAATAATGACAATGTACCAAGCCCTATGTGTCCCCAACGATGCTTAGTGCCTTATTTATCCCTCCCAACTTCCCTTGGAAGTGGGTACTCTTCATAGTTCCACTCTAGAAATGCAGAAACAAAGGCATAGAGAGCTTAATTACTCAAGGTCACAGAGCCTGAAGTGGGAGCACTGATGTTCAAATCCATCTTTGCTTTTAACCAGTGAGCCTCACCAGGAGGAACAGGGTCTACAGGCTCCACTCCCAGTTCTCTTGACTTCCCTAGGGCTCCGCCCCACTGGGCAGGACCAGACTAGAGACTAAAATACCTGCACACATCTACATGCACAGAGTGTGGCCCCAGCTGCCAGGGATACCTCAGCCAAGCAGGACTGGTAAAGGGCCACCTTGTATATATCTAGAGGACCCTGAGGGGGTTAAAAGTAACCCAGGCAGAAGGCCAGCCTGACACAGTGGGTCCGTAGTGGGAGCGGCCCACTGTTGGAGGCCCTGCCTTGGGGTTGGAAGTCAAGTCATTTGCTTTAGCTCTCCCAATCCAACTCATCTTACATCACTGAACCTGGGCTTCTTCATCTGCAAATCCATCTGGGATAGATCTGGAGTCAAGAGATCTTTGCCAGGGCCCATGGCATCCTACAAAGCACAGCCTGGACTTGAGTCAAGATTCCTTTTGGTAGCCAGGTATGGTAATCCTATCACTCTGAGAGGCTGAGGCAGGAGGACTGCAGGTTTGAGCCCTTCCTGGGCAGTTTAGCAATTTAGTAAAACCCTATCTCAAGATTTTAAAAAATTCAAAAGGGCTGAGGATGTAATTGAGCCTGAGTAACTCTCTGGGTTCAATCCCCAGTATTTAAAAAAAAATTCCTTTCAGTGTGGTATAAGCCAAAGGGAGGTCATAGTGGAGACCTGGGCAAAGCAGCTGGCTTTTAGGACAGAATCAGATGCCAGGGAAAGTTTTGGGGGAGACTGAACTTTAGGGGATCCCGAGAGTGCCACCTTCAAAGAGCTTGTCTACTGCAGGGAGCTAGAGAGCATTATGAATGGAGAGGAACTGAAGGAATGGAAGTGGGTGAAGTGGGCAGTTCTGTGATTCCGTTTTGTTTTTTTTTTTTTTAATTGAGCATTGATGTTTCTCATAGTCTCTGGCACACAGTAGGTGCTCAATAAATATTTATAGAATGAATGAAAGTGCCAAGCCCTGTGAAGGCATTTGGGTGACTGGCAGAGAGAGCCCCGCCCTTACAAAGGTCACAGGCTAGCACAAGAGCTGCGCCCCTCTCTCTGCAGTTGAGCGTGCAAGCGGCTCCGGAGGAGGAGGAGACACCTGCTCCTGCAACACGGCCATCTGTCAGATTTTCCAGCAGGGGTATTTCTACCTGTATCCTTTCAACATCGAGTACAGCCTCTTCGCCTCTACCATGCTCTATGTCATGTGGAAGAACGTGGGCAGGCTGCTGGCCGCCACCCACGGCCACAGCCACACACTATCCCGAGCCAGCCTCTTCCGGGAGACCTTTTTTGCAGGCCCGATCCTGGGCCTAATACTATTTGTAGTGGGCCTGGCGGTCTTCATCATCTATGAAGTCCAAGTGAGTGGGGAGAGGGGCCGCACCGAGCAAGCCCTGGTCACCTACTACAGCTTCAACATTGTCTGTCTGGGGCTCATGACCTTGGTCAGCCTGAGTGGCTCAGTCATCTACCGTTTTGACCGCCGGGCCATGGACCACCATAAGAACCCCACACGTACCCTGGATGTGGCCCTGCTGATGGGTGCCGCCCTGGGCCAGTATGCCATCTCCTACTACTCCATCGTGGCCGTGGTGGTGGGTACACCCAGGGACCTGCTGGGGGCGCTCAACCTGGCCCACGCCCTGCTTATGATCGCCCAGCACACCTTCCAGAACGTGTTCATCATTGAGAGCCTCCACCGGGGCCCACCCGGGGAGGAGCCTCGGGAATCTCCCCCCAAGGAATCCTGCCAGGGCCTTACCTTCGCCAACCTGGATCCCCTCCACACATTACCGGCCTGCCCGCCCACCCCCAGGCTGGTCAACCCCAGCCCAGCAGACCCTCAGGAAGCAATGGCCATCATCTTGGCCCCCAGGGGGCACTGGAGACGCCGGTGCCTAAAAGACATTTCTCTGTTTCTTCTGCTCTGCAATGTCATCGTGAGTAACTGGGGAAGGGGTGAGCGGGGCAAGAGGAGGGTGAGGAAGGAAGCTCCTGCGAGTCTGTCCCTTTAGCCTTCTCTGCCTTGCCCTAACGCACTCAAAAGTCTTCCAGCTCTCTAGGAAAGGGGTGGGTTCAGAGAGAGCCAGCTGAAACCCTTGAGCAAACAGCATCTTGGGGGACACAGAGAGAGTAATATCCCAGCTTCCGACCTGAAGGCAGTGGATGGAGCTGGAGGGGTCCCAGGGAAGGCTGATGTGGGGGTAGGGTGGAGGTGAGAGGGAGCTGAGAAGGTGGGGGCTCTCACTGCTAGGTGGGAGGTGTGACTGCTCCTGGGAACTTGTGACCTGCCTGTTTCTCAGAATAATTGGAGCAGCATCAGGAAGTAACAGAGACCAGTGTGAGTGTGAGCCGTCTGTTAATAGAGTGTTTTGGTAGGTTGCCTGGAAGTAGGGTGCAGACGACAGCCACCCTCTCCTGGGTGATTTAGCAAAGGCCACACTAAGAGCAACAGACTTCACCCCGTACAAATATACTACTCCCTGTTGGAAATACCTAGAGCAGAAACCCTCATACTGAAAGCACACCCCAATCTGGAAACATTCCTAGCAAAGCTACAACCAATATAGAAATTCTCCAGCATAGAAATGATCTCCAGTACAGAAACCTCTAATATAGAAACATGTAGCCGCATGGATATAGTCAGCCCTCTGTATCTGCTGGCTGCATGTCCCAGGATTTACCCAAGCCTTAGATGGAAAATGTTACAAAAAAAGATTCTATCTGTGCTGAACACATAGACTTTTTTCCTTATTATTATCTCCTTAAAAAATACAGTGTAACTGCTATTTGTATAGTATTTATATTGTGTTATATATTAGGAGTGCAATAAGTAGAGATGATTTAAAATTTTAAAGTATGCAGAATTACATAGGTTAATATTCAAATGTTATGCCATTTTATATAAACTGCTTGGACATCCTTGGATTTTGATATCCATCTGGGGTCCTGGAACAAGTCCTCTCTGTATATCAAGGGACAACTGGACATCCCAAATAACAAACAAACAAACTTCTAATGAAAAGGGACTCAATATAAAGACAGTCTTTTAGGATGAACCTTCCAGTAAAAGAATATCCCTAATAGGAATACATCCTTAATAGGGTATATCCTGGGGCCTGGGGTGTAGCTCAGTCATAGAGCACTTGCTAGCATACATGAAACCCTGGGTTTGATCCCCAGCATCACCAAAAAAAAAAAAAAAAAGTGTGCATTGGTACGGCCCAATGTAGAATACCATCCACAGAGTGAATTCTACCCCATGAGGTCCTAACTATGGGAAATATACCAGCAACCATCAGATACTTCCTTAGTGAATTCCCACTATGAATAGTGCCTGACAGGTCTTGACCGCCATAGGTAAGGTATGACTCCCCTGGAGGAGCCTTCTAATAGTCAGTTTCACTCTTAAACAAAAATAAGTATGGTCACCAATCTCACCCTACAAGTGGAAGTTCTAAGGCTCAAAACTTCAGTATGCATTATGTCTGGGACTGGCTTTGGTAAAGGGAAGGTGGGCTCCCCTGCCCTCCCCGCCGACACCAACCTTCTGCCCAGATCCGGCTTATAGGCCAGGAGCCACTATTCAGGAGGGCTGTTCTTACTCCAGATAGGTGAGCATGAATCACTCTGACGGCACCATCTTCGCTTTCTTCATTTCACAGAACAGAGCAAGCTGGGGGCGGGGGTGGCTGTGATGTAGCGGGGATGTAGTTAGTTAGGGCAGGACTGGTGGCGGCCCAGAAGCCTTTGTCCTTTTCTTCATACTCCTCACCCATATCGAACCGCTTGAGCTCCCAGCCAAAGATGAGGCAGGATTCTAGCTTCACCTCCTCCTAGAGCTGAGAAGGGGGCAGCGGGTGGGAGTGGCGTGGGAGAGCAGTGCTCATAGAGGCTGGGGGTTGTGACCTGGCTGGGCCCTGAACCCTTGTGCCTCACTGATTCTTCCCAGCTGCAGATCCAGCAGTCTGAACCAATTTCTTACATCATTTGTTGAGATTCGCATTCCACCGGTGCATAAAAAGAAGGGAGAGGTGACCACAGTAGGAGTGGGCTAGTTTAGTTGGACACATTTCCTGAGCTGCTTAGAGAGTACCAGTCTCTGCGCAAGATATTGGAGGTCACCACTCAGTGACATCCAACCATCAGCGTCCACCAAACTAACAGGCCAGGCTCCTCATCCTGTCCTGGGCCAGCAAAGCACACCAAGAGCTGCAGGTTTGTTCTGGGCAAGTTTCTGATGCTCCCCTCTCCCCACACAGCTGTGGATCATGCCAGCCTTTGGGGCCCGGCCCCACTTCAGCAACACCGTGGAGGTGGAATTCTACGGCTACTCCCTCTGGGCAGCCATCGTCAACA